CCTCCTATTTATTCCACACAAATAAATGAAATCAGTCAATAAACCATCCAAGTGTGAATATGGCTCTCTCTATCCCGGATAATGAATGAGAGCTCATTAATTTTCCTGTGCGCGCGCACGCGTGTGTGTGTGTGTGTGTGTATTGTGTGTTGTGTGTGATTATGTGTTCATATGTTTATTGTGTTTATGTCCACATGTTTATAATTGGCTAAAAAGAGGAATTCTGAATGCAATAATTTAAATGTCTACAAGCATTAGACAATTACTATAAGCATTCCAAGAAGGTCCACTTTTTAGCATAATATTTTGACATTTTGTAAAACATGCTTATTTGCTTGTTCTTGGCAGACAAAATATAGAAAGCACAAATAGATATAACATTACATTTCAGCCTATTTTGCTTTTTTTTGTTGACAGACCCAGGCTAGCTGTATCCACAATTGCCTTTAAAAGTCGTTATGCTAAGCTATGCTCACCGGTTTAGCGAATAAACATGAATGAAGTTCTTATCTAGCTTTCGGTAAGCAAGCAAATAAGCATCCTGAAAATGTTGAACTTTTTCTTTGAAGAAAAGGATGCTTTTGATAGGAGACAAAAATCGTTATCCCTTATCTTGTGCACATTTTTTGTTGTTGAAAGTTTAGCTGTGAGGCTTCAGCAGTCAGAATTAGCCAAAGCAGTGGGTATCTTCTCAAGTGACAACTTTGTTGTGCACAAAATTATCTTTTTGTGTGAACATACTGTACTTGGCCATTTTAGGCCATTTTCAAAATATTGAATTATCTTATTTAGCAAAAGCTAGATGTCATGATGTCTGTACGCTAATTATAAAGCTAGAGCTAGCCGCAAGTTAGCTTAGCTTAGCATAAAGGAATCTCATAAGGGTCTGTTTTCGGACAAATAAAGCAACCATAAACTGTTTAAATGTACACATAGGCCTGTGTTTGTTGTTCCAAAGGAGCCTTTTAACAAAATGTGAATATCCAAAGAAACAGTTGCAACGCTAACATGATCTGAACCTGTTGTTTTTCTGTCCTTAAATCAACCAATAATGTCAGAAATATGATCTCTGAGAGCGGTTTGGGCCAAACATCCTATCATTAACTGTCTAAATTCAATATCTGTTTTTTTTGGGGGTAGAGGTATGTTGGCGGCATCACATACACGTTATGAATCCAAATTCATGAGAAGTTTAATTTTATTTGACAGGCAGAGTCTAGGAGTGTCTTGGTGATTGTTATGCCAGATGGCGGAGAGAAAATCCCATTTGAAGGTTTTATTAATTTTCGTTAAACTGGAGAGGTTCGCCGATGCTGTCTTTGCGCTCTCACTGACGAGGCTGACTGACATCTCGCTGCTCCCTCCATTTGTCATTGTTTGAAAAGGTCTTAATTGTATTACATGCAAATGAAGAGATTTGATTTTTGCCCATTATCTATTCATAAGAGAAAATGAACAGAACATTAGTGGGTCACCAAATGAGGGAGGGAGGGTGAGGGAAGGAGGGGAGAGAGGGAGACAGTGATGAGAGAGGAAGATGAGAGTGAAACAGAAATGGCAGCTTTACATTACTGAGCTCTATATCTTTTAACTTTTGAGTTTGTAAAAAAACTAATCTGTCCATCCTCATGTGTAAAGCATGTGTCTGTATGAGTGTGTGTAATAGGTCAAGGCTGATAATTAACCTTTGATGACTGAAACACAGCAATTACAGTCTGACTCATGTGACAAATCAAAGTGACAAGCTTGAATGCACTCAGCCATCCTCCCTGGTCATCTTAAGACCATCACCCTCTGAATTATGAGCCATATATATTTTAATCAGGTCTTATGGCACATGTGTCACCAAACGGGTTAAGTTCAAACAAAACACGTTTTCATTTAAACTACTTTCTCCTAAAGTCGTTTTGAAAACTGTTGGTGATGAAAAGTGGGAAAAATGTTTGGAAATAAATATGTAAACGTTTATATGCGTGGCTAAATATCAATGAATGTGGGAATCATTTTGGATATGTGACTGCTCCTTTTTCAAGTAGGGAGGCCGAGAACAAAGTGTTTGGAATAAAAGCGTCTTTCCTACATTACAATCAGGGAGCAAAGGCTTGTCTTTGAAAGATTTTCACTATTTTCCTAACAGAACAATCGGACAAGCGTCCCTACTTTTCCCCAGAATTTGTTTCCCTGATGCAAAGAGGGAATTTTGTACAAAAAAAGCTGAAACTGTGGCAAAGCTTTTCTGCAGATTTCATCTATGAATCTGTGTCTTAATTGCCAATATGGAAAAGAGGAAAGATTGCAGCAACCAACAACTGTCTGGGCATGTGAGTATTACATTATGATATATCTAAACATGTGTGTTAATACAAAACCTGATCATATTTCTAAAGAAACAGGAATTATAGACAAATGCGGTTAATTGGACTTTAAAGGTGCCCCCCTGCCTGTTTGAGGTCTGGCAGAGTCCACGCAGGCTAAAGCAGAACACAGTGAAACCCTGATGAAGAGGGACAGTGAAGTGTGTTGGTCAAGAATGAGACTCTCTCTTCTACACGACCCTCTGAACAGCGAGGGAGGGAGCCCGATATTGAATAGTGTTGTTGGCCCATTGTTAAATCACAGCTTAATTCCTTTTCCATCATCATAACCATTTGTTTTCCTTACAGGGTGGAGATAGGGGGATGAGATCCGGCACTGTAAGCAGGGGGAGAGGGAGAGGGCAGACTTTTTGCTTTGCTTTGACTCTGGTCTTTAGTTTTGGTGGCCATCGCATCATGACTCCCCCTCTCAGCTGATTCCTGCCATTGGTCATATTTGACACCTGGCCCACACCAGGCCAAGGCAGCTTTTCCTCCCTTTTCTTCCCAGTGAACTCCTGAATCTCTCCTTTACCTCCATCCCTGTGCCCGCCTAGTTTGTATACACTGCTTTCTTAAATGTTCTCCCCTTTAGTGTGTTTTTTAAAAACAAACCTAGCCCTACCTCATTTCAAGCTGCTTTTTATAGTGTGTCAGTTTGTCTACATTGGTCCTGAATTTCTTCTAGAACCGCTGGATGGATTGCCATTTAATTTGGTGCAAAACATCACTGTAGCTTACTAAAAGGACGAATCCTAACGATTTTGTTGATTTCCTGACTCTCCCTCAAACGCCACCAACATGTCAGATTCTTTATTTATTCTGAAATATTTAAACATCTGCATGGATTGGTACTTTTTTTGTTTCATTTTCTCCACCTTCTGCCTTTCGCTCACATCACGAGGTTGACATTTGAGTTAGAGTGGTTTGATAATGTCAGTTTTATTGTTGATATGTATATCACATTTCCCAATGAGTTTTGTACAACCATTCATTGTACGATAAATCCTAATAACTTCATGATCCCCTGCCCTTTCCCCTCAAACATATCTACAACCATTGCTGAGAATCTTGCTGTATAAAATCAGTAATAGGAACAACATCAGGTCATACTTTTTCAGAACTGGTTTATGACTAAATATCTGCTAAACGTATAACATTCCCATTCACCTCTTTCTTTAACTTTCTTTTTATGAGCATGTCAGGCTGACATTAGCATTTAGCTGAAAGTACCACTGTGTCTAGTACAACCTCATAGAGCTGCTAGCATGGCTGCCTCTCACATCTTTTGCATCCATTATTCAAAACCCTCTAGAGTCTACATATTTGACCTATTCATCCAGACATCTGACAGATAGTTAAACAAACACAGCATCACCCATCCCCAAATCTAAAACCCATTCACTCCATATCAGCCAATCCCACTCCCTAAGCCTCCTCCTTTCTCTAGCTGCCCTTGAGCTTTTCTATTACCGCATGGAAAGCACCTCGCAGCCCCTGACAAGCGCGGCGGATCGACACTAAATCAGAAATCAGTGCCAGCCGCAGATCTGAGCCACCATGAAGGTCACAGGCCCTACACTGCGTGTCGTCTCAATCGGGGGAGCAGGAGTAGACACAGCTAGGGTGATGTGTGACTGTGTGTGTGTGTGGTGTGTGTGTATCTGTGTGTTAACAGGGGAGACACCGAGAGGAGAAAGGAGAATGGATGAGGAGGATATGGAAGAAGAGCAGGTCAACATTGATGCAGAAGTCATTGGATGGAGAGAAATAAGGGGAAGTCAAAACAAGTGTAGACAGAGAGGTCTTCATAAAAAGACCATCAAAATCATATAAGAGAATCAATCAAATCATTTGATTTTCTCTCTCAGTATAATCTAGATAAATGTTAAAACCTTTGACAGAAATACAGTTTTTTCCTGGCTATATTGGGTTTGAAGCTTCCTCTGATCGCATGGGATTGATACACACTGCCATCTAGTTGTAAAAAGGAGGATGACACTCAGAACTGTGTGCTTGTGACTTCTCTTGGTTGTTTGAATTTCTCACAACAGAATAAAGTATGTGCAGTTTGACATTAAAAGGCTGTTTTTACGTTCATAAAAATAAAATGTTTTATATAAAGTAATCGTAAAAACGAATACGTTCATATAATTAGTGAAGACTTTAAACAAATGTAAACTTTTTTTAACTGTGGTTTGGCTAATACTACTGATGGAGCATAAAACCAGAGGGACGTTCAAAATGACCAGTTTTGTTCTCTGATTGGGCTATTTTTTCTCAGACAAAACAGTTTTTATATTCCTAGATTTAGCAGAACATATCATTTAAAATGTATAATTTTAAACAGTTATACTGTACATATTCGCCAAATCAGATTCCCTTCCTCATGTTTATTGTGTCCACCAAAAACCAACTGAAATTATTTGCAAGTGAGAAGTAGAACCTACTTTTTCATTATACAATTATTGACGTTTTTTACATACATTTTTATTTTTGTTGAAAACCCCAAATATGAATCAAAACATATGTTAAAGTTACTCTGCCGCATATCTTTAAGGAAAACACGTATAATAAATCAAATATGTTGTTAAAGAAGTACTATTATCGGCAGAATGATGTTTGTCCTGCCAATGCTTCCGTAGCTTGAGTCACATGAATGGTTTGTTTTGGTCGTGACAGATCTGTACATTAGCACGTAGCTAGCAGACACTACTGCAACAACGTTATATTCTGGTTAAAATATCAGGTGAACAAAACATAGATCTTAAAATCTTCTCTCAAGGGCAAGAAAAAGGAAATACGAGAAAGGGCGAGAAAAAGGACATACATCAGGCGGAAGCGTCTCTGGTTTCTGTTTACGCTAATGAGTGGTGAGTCGCAGTGCACGCGCACCTGTAGTGTTGTTGTGCTTCAGTTACACAGTTGTGTTATGTTATTGGCTCTTATTTAGATTAATATGTAAACTTGCTTTCTTTTGTGTCATTCAGCCAACGTTAATCGTCAAAACGATGCTTCGGTGGATTCTTGGTGGTCGAGAAGCTCAGGGTTCATTGGAGGTAAGCTGTAACGGGGTAGCTATTAAGCTAATGCTATGCTAACTGTTTGATCAACGTTTATCTTTTTTTAACGTCACTGTGAAGTCAGTTTGAGGTTGGATAACTGACAGTCATCCACTGCGGTCTGTTTACTCTGTCTCACTGACTGTCTGCTGTTTAGTTTGCAAAAATCAAGCCTTGCAATAAAAAACTGCCGAATTGTATCAATATACAAAGTTATATACAAAATAGAAGAAGACATATAATACAGTAAAAAGAGGCGTAAGCTACTTATCCACTTATAGTCATACTATCAGTATTACTGTCTGGATTGAATTTGGACATGAGGGCGTTTAAAAAATACATTTAATTAAAATATCAATATAAAATAAAAGTTGGACTACAATCCAATTAAAAAGGCTTGTCCTACTCTTCCAGTGTAGTAATTAAATGCTTCAATAATTTTAAGTCACTGGGTTTAAGGTTAGTTTATGAATGTAGTAGCACATTTCATCATAGTACACTTATGGAATTCGAAGATCCTTACAAAACGTTACTTGACATGGAAGCTAATAACAAAATGTAGACTTTTCAATTAAAAACAGCAACACATTTTACATAATTATTGTCTGCTGAGTTAATAAACTTTTCTTTTGCACTTTATGTACATTTAGGCTGTTTCATCAAGTGGTCTCTGAAAGGTCACATGATACATCTTGTGAGATAAATATGAGAAAAGTAAAGCAGAGAAAGCAAAGCTCTGCAACACAAATCACTTCCTAATTTGCAGACTTTTCTCTAACTTTCCTTTTTTATTATGAAATATCGGATCATTGTCACCTCCCGCTTGGACTACTGCAATGGTGTCCTGTTCGGGGTTCCCAACAAAACCCTGGACAGGCTCCAGTATGTCCAAAACTCTGCTGCTAGGGTACTCGCACACACAAAGCCGTGGCAGCACATCACTCCCACCCTCATCCACCTACACTGGTTGCCGGTCAAGTCCCGCATATCCTACAAAGTCCTCCTCCTTACCTACAAGTCCCTCCATGCCCCTGCCCCCCAGTACCTATCGGACATCCTTCACCCACATGCCCCACCAAACTGCGAACCTTCGGGGACAGAGCCTACAGTGTGGCAGCCCCCACCCTCTGGAACGCTCTCCCTGCGGAGATTCGCAGCATCCCCACACTCGACGCCTTCAAAAGGGCCCTCAAGTCCCATCTGTTTGCCAAGGCTTTCGGCCCCTAATCGATCTGTTGTCTGTCTGACTTTTGTTTTGTTATGTTTGTTTTTGCCCTATTACTTGTAAAGCGACCTTGGGTCCCTTGAAAGGCGCTATATAAATCCAAGCTATTATTATTATTATTATTGGCCTCAATGTAAGAGGGTAAATGTCTCTTTGGTGAAACACATGCAAGACATCGGAAACATGCCGTGGGGCCCAAGTGAACAAACTTTATTGGCACCAAACCAAAAAGACAGGGAACTTGCATGGTTTTTAATTACCGTATCGTATTAAGGTAAAATCTTAATATGAAAAGTAATCATAGCTGTCCTAAAAATAATGAGCAGTAAAAAGTACAATATTTCCCCATTCGAAATGTAATTGAGGACAAGTATAAAGCAACAAAAAATGGAAATACTTAAAGTACACATCCCTTAAAATGTAAATGTGTAGTAAATGTACTTTCCACCGTTATTTGTCCCTGCTCTCCCTCTCTCAGAGACTCTCACTCTGCAGCTCAGCTTGTGTCTCACTACTTTCCTCCTATGTCTGCAGAAAAGCTCCGTGTTGTGCATCGGAGAGGAACAGCCCAAAAACTGGTTCACTGAGCTGCAGGTGCTGAAAGGACATTTTGACATTGTTCGATTTCTGGTGCAGATTGATGACTTCAGGTAAGCAGACCACAACCCCCCCTCCATCCTCTTTTCTTCTTTTTTTTCTAACCTCTCTCCTCTCTACCCTTGGCTGGCCTCTATCCCTCTGTGATTGACAGGAGATCCTCACCTACAGAAAACGTACAGAGCATGACAAGAGCCCAATCATCACCACTATGTGATTGTGTGTGCAGTACAGTATACACAAAGCCCTTTAATGCTGTCCGTACACACATGCACGCACACATCGAAAGGTTCTGCACCTGATCTCTCCTCCGCTGCTTTGTGAGAGCATGCTGCACACATCATGGTAGAGTGGGTCTGCATAAGTGCTCAGATTGGGATTTATAACAGAACTAAGTACGTGTGTGTGGGTCTGGTTGTGTGTGTGTGTGTGTCAGGGGGGGGGGGCTGCTTCACGCCTGGTCTCCCCCAGTAATAACCTCCTCCTCTGGGTCTCGTCCTCTCCGCTCACAGGTCCTCAGTCGGGGGCAAAGGGCAGAAAATTCTCTCCAGATTGCTTTTGAAGTCCGAAAATGTATCCTCGACAGTTCCTCTCTTCTCATTTTATCTCTTTTTTTTATCCGGTCATCCTGTCTGTTGATTTTGGGAACAGGTAGTGTGGATGCTCGAGGGTCAAAGGGCAAGTGGAGGTGGAAACCCTAGGACAGATGTTTTTTTAAGATTCCTTGAGAGGAGATGGAGCTACAGCAAATGATTCCTCACACAGATAGAGATTAACTTGGTGTGTTTGGCTACCTTTAAGATGAGGCCTTCAGGTGAACTGAAGTATTTCTGTCACGTATGAGTCTACAACTCAAACTGTCATCTTATGTTTTCCAGATGTGCCTCAGCAGGCGATGATGGCCTGGTTTTGGTGTGGAATGTTGAGGTAATAAGCTGCAAGTTGATTATTTCAGTGCATTATGAAAATGAACGCAGTGGCACCAATGTTTTTTCTTTCTCTTCTTCCTGACTGTTAGACCGGAGAGAGACTCCAGGAGCTGAGGGGCCACTCCCAGCAGATAACAGCCATGACCACCTTCACCTGTGATGATGGAGACACGACGCACACCTCGCTCCTCACAGCGTCCTCTGACCGGAGTCTCAGCGTATCCTCAAAGCACACAATACTTTTAAATACATACTAAAATCATTCAGAATTTATTCTTGTGTTTTATAATTAAAACTTTATTTTCCTTAACCTGATTGGTCAGCTGTGGGACCCGGACACAGGCAACAGGGTTCAGACCATTTCAGATCTTCAGTCCTCTGTAAAGGTAATTTATAAGCCCCTTATAGACATGAGCCTTGTTATGTTAATGTTTAATGTCTGACAATTTTGCAGTTGGGTGTCATCCCTGAAAAAGGCATGTTTTAAAGTAAAAGCCACATAGAGATATAATTGAGTTTGATGGCGCTCTATTTACCCAACGACTAGAGATAATGCTATTAATGTTACATTTGAGTAAGGAACTACTCCTATTCTCCTTTTCTTATTGCTATAGTGTGTATTTCTGCTTTGTGCACTTCACTGTTCCATGTTACAGCTTTTTCTTTATTAACCATTACTTTCTAACAAGAACATGTCTAGAAAGATAAAGATCCATACATACGGATATAAAAACATAATGGCCCAATCCCAAACCACACCCTACACCCTACCCCTACACACTACCCCTCCGTTTGCGCTGTTCCAAACCAACGAGTGTGGAGCGGTGTGGAGGGGGAGTGGGCTATCAAGCCCTCAAACAGCGAGTCTGCAGCGGTGCTGACTGGAGACCGGTCTCTACCTGACCGGAGTCACGCTGTGTGTGTCCGTCAGGAAACACGCTGTGTACAAACAGTTCCAGCAAACATCCACTTGCGATGTTAACAACCTCATGATAACCTCATATTTGTTTAACTTAGGATCATACCTGTGTTTAGTCTAGAAAAAGGTAAATGTGTGCATTTTATTATAAAGTTGTGTATATTTACAGACTGTTGCAAAAACTAAGAAGCTTATAAACATCAGGTTTAAAACTAAAAGAGCTTTACAAAAAAGTAACACAATTAAAGATGTTTGGAGTTGGAGCTGATTTGAAAGCGTTGTTACATACAGTTACGGCATTTCCTGTTTCTGCCGGAGAGAGGGGAGGCCGTCCCAAAGCTTGCCGCTGTATTTACTCCCTCCATCTGACGGGAGGGAGCCTCGTTGAGCTGCGAGTGTCACTCCACGGAGTTCACTACGTCACGGAGGGGGAGTGTGTAGGGGTAGGGTGTAGGCAATTAAGTTTGTTTTGGCAAGAAAGGTAAAATACCAATTAAAATGTTTGACACTTTTTTTCTTCTGACAGTTATGATTCAAGATAGAAATGGTTGTTGCATCCCCTTGATCACACATTAAGGTTAATGACAGCATCTAAAGGCTCATTGCATTTGAATTATTTTCTTTGCTGATATTTTGTTTGTGTGTGCATTGATGTGTGCACGTCAAAATGAAAATAAATAACACGCATGTGATGATCCTTGTGTCCCTCAGTGTCTGCTGGTGCTGGAGCGGCTGTGTGTGTTTGTCTCGGGCGGGGGGGAGCTGTGTGTGTGGAACAAAGACTTCCAGCTGCAGTGTCACCGACCCAACCACAGCGACACCGGTGAGGAGGAACAAAGGAAGAATAACTGTCACAATAAACCTCTCATGTGGTGATTGTTGCACCAACAACGCCCCCCCCCCCCCCCAACCCTGCTGTTTGCACACACACTGATTAATGTTGTTATTTTGTGTTTTCTTTTTTATAACTGCAGGAATAACTGCTTTGATAGAGCTGCCCAAGAACTGCATAGCAGCTGCGATGGATAAAGAGATAGGTAAGAGACAGAATGTTTAATATGTGCAAATAGAAAAAACGACACGGCTTTAGGCAATATTGTTGATATCAAACATCATTCAAACTTTATTTGTATTGCACTTTTAATAGAAAAAAGGTAATTCAAAGTGCCACTGAAACCAAAAACAATGAATAAAATAAAACAATATTCATAAACGGACCAACGCATTACTTTGTGATATACCAAAACAACAAAAGTCAAGAAACACAGCACAGAATAAATAAATGTACCAATGTATTTTCTTCCTTGCAGTGATCTACAGGCTGACGGTCTCTACAGATTCTTCCATATCGGTGGCTGAGGTCCGCTGTCTGTCCGACCACCAGGACAGAATTCGAGCTCTTATTAACGTCAATGGTTAGTTATTTAAGAAAAGAATCAGACTTATTGTTGAAAATCGAACTGGCTTCATTCAGCTTTAAGAGAATGAGACATTGCACGTTGCCCCCTGAGCTTTATATGACTTTAGTTCTGTCTCTTCCTCAGACGGGCTCTTTGCGAGCGGCTCCCACGCGGGCGAGCTGATATTATGGGATGCGATTGAATGGAACATCATGGCCTATGAGCACATCCTGTGGGAGGAGTCACAAGCCTGCACTCAGGCCGAAATACGATTGGCTGCTCCCAAACCCAGTGAGATGTCCATACAGCATCTGACCACCAATGGAAGGGTGAGGAACACGGGATGTATTTGTTGTGTGTCATTAAACATTGTTTGTGTTTTGTTTTGTTATTGTGTTACATAAATAAAGTTGTGTGTTTTGTAGCACATCCTTGCAGCTGTAGGCAGCGGTCTGTATGTGTTCAGCATTCTGACCAAGACGGTGGTGGCCTACAGGAAGGCGGCCCACGACTCTAACGTCCTGCACACCATGCTGCTGTCTGACAGGTGAGTTATCAGATCCTGTCTCTAACCGCTTCAATGTGGGATCAAATGAAACAAAAAGGACATTTCTTTGTGGATAATGTGTTTATTCGGCCAGAAAAAAATCTCCATGCATGTATTATAAAACCTGCCTTTTTATAAAAATATTCGATGTCCTGAAAACCTAAAATGGGTTTAGTAACGTACAAAAGAGGTGTCCGAACTACGGCCTGGGGGCCAACTGCGGCACGTTGGCCTCTTTTAATCGGCCCTCAGCAAAAATTCAAAAAGCATTATTTTCTTATATTGTACTTCTTAAATATGTCTAAACATATATTACAGAGGAGGTTTCATGAGCCCTAACCCTAACCCTTTTCAAATAAATTAAATAAATAAAAATCTTAATTGATAAAAAAATACCCCTCACATTTACCCTTATTATAGAAAGAAACTTTAAGAGTTAGCTTAAAGCAAAGGCTAAGAAACAATGTATCTGTGTCAATCAAATCTTGCTCTAGACGTGTGTGAATACACTAGGATTTATTGTGATTAAAACAGCCATTGATTAGACTAAAAGTTGTTTACACCGTCTCTGTTCCAGCGAGCTGATGTCCTGCTCTGAGGACGGCAGTGTGAGGATGTGGGAGATCCAGGACCTGCCTCTGTCTGCTGAGCCCGCCTCTTCAGGTGACACACAACAGGGCACACACACACAACAGGGCACACACACACAACAGGGCACACACACAAACATACACTGTGTAACATGGTTAAATGTGACACTGCTGATAGGATGCCAAGTAGTTCACATTTTCAGACATATCAAGAAGTAGGCCATCGTCCCATTTCTTCTTGTGGATTTTCCACTTTAACTGGATTCTGTTCCCAGTGATAGAATACATAAGTAGTACATAGGTATGAATCCAACAGTTCAATGAGGAGAAATTGCCTGCACTCAATGTTGGTATGTGTAGCTGAGTGTCTTGATGGTGGGGTTGAGGTGCAGTAATGCAGTCCAGATGGCGTGTTGTATATATCAAAGGAGAGTTACTGTAGCACTCAGTGGGCTGCTCTGAAGTAGAGTGTGTGTGTTTGTGGTTGTGCTGTCTTTGATGGTCTAGCTGTTATTAGTCGTTCATATACATTATTATTGTTTGTTATTTTATTTCTCCAGGAAACCAGAAATCAATGTCTTGCCTCTTTAATACAACCAAGTGTATTAGCCATAATTGTAGCAATGTGGAAGGGTCCTAAAACATTTAATTTATAATGATACATGACAATGAAAAGCAAGAATATCTAATTTTAGAGGCTGTAACCAGAGCATATTGGAATTCATTGGTATTACTGAAAAGATGAATCAATTATCTGAATAACTGCTACTCATTTGTGTTTCAACTGGTGGTAGCAGGTGGTTGAGCATTTAGAGGGTGAACAAGCCAGATATTTATCTCAGGTGACTTTAAAACTAAGTTAAAAGAGAGTGGATATTAGATTTAAATTCATCGAGTGGACGATGTTGCTCCTTAACTGCTGGATGTGTAAATATGAAATGTTTGCTTACAAGTTCACCATATTACATCTAAGGTAAAAGTGAGTCAGAAAGAAAGCAAACATAGAAATATGAAGAAGACATGTTGTCATTTGATCCATTATGTCAAACATTTTTGATTATACAATGTTTAAATGTAGTTCAGACATCTGATTTTATTTAAAGGCAATCCTACTTGGCTGTTATCTTCATCTGAATCTGAATCTACAGAAACACATGTTGTCCATGCATCAACAACCAACTGTGATTATATAATTAAGCAATAGCTCACGACAGGCCGTGGTATATGGCCATTATATCACAGTTAAGGGGCGTGGTTCGGCCCGACGCGAAGCGATTAACAACGTGTCACGTGTTCTGAATTGACCAATCAGAATCGAGTATTCAACTAAACCATGTAATAAGTAACATTATTACATGGTTTAGTTGAATACTCGATTCTGATTGGTCAATTCAGAACATGTGACACGTTGTTAATCCAGAACAGACAGACCGCTGTCAAGGACTTATTGACCGTAGTTAAGGACGCTCACATCTGCACAAACAAGTCCGGTCGATTGAACTGTATACAGTTTGGCCGAAAAGCAAACTGCATGCAGTTTGCTTTTCTAACTGACGAGACAAGAGCGACAAGAAAACAGCGGAGAAGTAACGGGCAGAAACCCTCCTTTTTACGCAGCGGTCCAGACATAGACATCAAACGGCGACACATATTCAGTTGCCAGTTACTTTGGCATTAGGGCAGGGATATCTAGATACTTTCCAAGGTTTGACATAATGAATTGTGCTACTTTTAAAGCAAGCAACGATGTTTTCAAATCTGTAATCAAAAAGCTCCGCCTTCCTGCCGTTGCTACGTTTTTCAAACGGTAACAACGGACTATTTTCCTTAGCGGATGCATGTCAATTTAAATCAATACATACAACTATTTTTTAAATCAATAAAATCATTTTCTAAATCCATAAAAGCATTTCAATTAATAGTGGGAGTCATATCATTACTTTGTTGAGAATGTGGCCATGTAATAAGCGGGATAATGTGCAGCGACTTAATGACCGCGTCGCTGCACATTATCCCTTACAGAACAGTCTGCACAATATATATAATCTATTTTTGTATTGTCTTCTTCAATCCAATATTCGTCTATATCTCTTTTTCTCCTCTGTCCTTTACCCCAGGCTTCTTTGGCATGTGGACTTTCGGCCGGCCGAACAAACCGAGCGCTCCTCCGTTAAAGAAGGTGGTGGACGTCCCAAACATCCGGATGCTGGAGCTGACGGGGGATCTCATTGGACACTCGGGAGCTGTCCAGGTATGATCTTTATGATTTCCAAACGTATGTTCTACTTTAAAACAGTGAGACAGAAGTGCTTCACCGATGTTGTGCCTGTGTCAGATGTTCGTGAGCTTCAGGGAGAACGGTTTGGTCACCTGCTCCACGGACCACCTGCTGATCCTGTGGAAGAACGGAGAGAGGCAGTCCCAGCTCCGCAGCCTGGCACTGTTCCAGAAGCTGGAGGAGAATGAAGGACTCTGACCTTTGACCCTTGCACCGCTGCCTTGAGATGTAAAGCTTTCCCGTGATGGTCTGTTATCTTTGTAATGTACTGTTTGCTTTAAATGATCATGTTTGTTGTTTGCACCTTAAATTAAAGTATTTAACTTATAAAACTCCTCCAATTTCCAATCTGTGGTTAAGCATTATATGGTTGATGTGAAGTCAGACATCTTGGAGCTCAGTATGTATATTATTGGCTTCTGCTTTTCTGAAGTTCTCACTTTGGGAAAAAAGCTAATTTGTTTCCTGAAAAAGTTAGATTGGTAGATCGTTACCGGCTAAATATCTGTCCCCTGAATATGAAGCTGCAGCCAGTTAGCTTAGCTTAGCATAAAGATGGGAATAGGGAAACGATTGGCTACCATCACCTCTAGAATTCATTAAATTGTATCGCATGTACTTCACATACTCCCAGTAAATCGTGAATTTGTAATGTTTATGCTTCGGTTGAAAAAAACAAACAACCTATGATGTGATGATTAGTCAAATTAAGAATATTTGTTTTGACAACGCTATCCATCTCCTGGCTGTAGCCTTGTATTTACCAGGGTTCGTACGGGTGCTGGAAATCCTTGAAAATGCTTGAAATTTCATGTGGTGTTTTCAAGGTTTGAAAAGTGCTTGGATTTTGGATAAAGTGCTTGAATTTTGGTTAAAGTGCTTGGATTTGTACTTGCTTTACTTTTATAATAAATTGCTGTCTGACTGAATAGTTCGCTTTTTTTGATAAAAAAAAAGAGAAAGAAGTCGGAGCGAGCTTAATTACTTTTTATAAAAAGACAGCTCCACTCCTTTTATACATATTTTGATATTTGAATCCTTATTTTTTTCAGTTGCAGATTTTCCGTTTTCAGATTCCAAACAATTATTTTTTCATTTTCAAATCTTGTTTTTTCAGGTTTCACCGTTTTTTTCGCTTTCAAACTTTTGGCCCTGATGTTACCAAAGAGTAGTTTTGCATCCTGAGTGACAGTCCTCCCTCTGTCATGTTGCCTTCATGGATGTACTGTAAGGTAGCACGAGAAATATAACTCAACACTTTCTATACACAATACTCCCGTGATTGGTGGGAAACCAAACTGATACCAGCGTCAAAGTTCTGTTAAGCGAGCTGTTGAGCATCGTAGTTCAGAATCAGATCAGTATCAGAAAACCTTTATTAGTCCCACAGAGGGGACATGTACGTTGTTACAGCAGAAAAGAGCCACTGACAGCTTAATGTTACATATGTTACATGCAAAATAAAAAGTGATATGATAAAAAAATATAATAAAATAAAAAGTTATACAATTTACAAAATACACATCCTGTAACAGTTCTGAGGATTTAGCAGCCAGGTATATATTGCAGTTTTTAACGGCATATTTAAGCAATAGCTCAGGACAGGCCGTGGTATATGCTCATTATATCCTAAGGGGCGTGGTTCGGCCCGACGCGAAACGGAGGATTATGACCGTTATGACTAACGGTCATAATTTCTCTGCTTTGTTTCAAGACCCGCATCATCACAAAGCTTTTCCAGTTGGTCTACCTGCTCTTCACGTAGCTCTGCATGTCGTCGTTTAGGTGCTTTTTTTCTCTGGAGATAGGCACTCCTCAATCCACTCCTCCATAGTAAGACCCCCCCGGAGGTCGAAGTTAATCTTAAATGTTTCCATTTTATGCTTTGTAAATTTGTTTTTCGTAACGGAAGAAATGTAAATATATTTATAAAACGGACAAGTCAAATCAAGTAATCTGATTGGTCGATAGCGTTTTTGCGGACCTTTTTGATTACAGATTTGAAAACATCGTTGCTTGCTTTAAAAGTAGCACAATTCATTATGTCAAACCTTGGAAAGTATCTAGATATCCCTGCCCGAATGCCAAAGGAACTGCACACTGAATATGTTTTGATGTCTATGTCTGGACCGCTGCGTAAAAAGGAGGGTTTCTGCCCCGTTACTTCTCCGCTGTTTTCTTGTCCCAGTTTGAAAAGCAAACTGCAAGCAGTTTGCATGTCGTCGTTTAGGTGCTTTTTAGTTGGGCTGAAAAGCAAACTGCAAGCAGTTTGCTTTTCAGCCCAACTGTATACAGTTTTTCTCAGACGCGGAGGGATACTGACTTGTTGTGAAAAGTAACTACAATTCTACCCGTGGTATACGCTCAGTATACCACGGCTAAGAACCAATCAGATTGCTTGATTTGACTTGTCCGTTTTATAGAGTGGCGAAGTCACGCCCATCTACTTCCGCCCCATGGGACCTTATTTCGGAAAGATAATGTATTGAAGTCAATGGAGAGAGAAAACGTATCTTTCGATCCCGTTTGAATTGTGCCATGAATTACACATATGATGTTTGTCAATCTTAAAAAATAATTTCCATGTCAAAAAAGTCACAGTTTGTCGTAAAACTGTTGAAATATAAGACTATGAAAAATACGCAACTAGAAAGACTACAAATCCCAGAGTCGCGTAAGTGATGTCACAATTGTTTTCCTCCACTAAGCGATAGCTAAGATCAGCGCCATATAGATAGAATCTATCTATATGGCGCTGGCTAAGATAAGATAACTTTAACAAGATGCCTGTGTGCTTAGTACCAGGTTGTTCATACCAGCAATGGGTCTTGCTCGTTCTTTCGCTTCCCGTCTGATGAAAGGACCAGGAGTGTCTGGATCAAGCTATCTAGTAGCTAGCACGTTACAGCCTTGTCATTTGTATTAGCCTTAACATGAAGTAACAAGAAGTAACCCAACATGTTAAACAGTAAGAGTAGTAGTCATATTTCGTGAACCCTTTGAAGAGTACTGTCACACCGGTGTGATCATTCTATAATACACAATTTAAGCCCGGGGGAGAAATGCTAACGCTAACGCTAGCGATCTTCTCTACTTCATGCTATCTGCACAAATGGTTGACATTAAACATTACAAAGACCAGGCAGTTCAGAGAGAATCAAAGAAAGGCAGGCAGCTTTGCATGACTTTCTTCAGGACGTGTTTCATTGTGGTGATAGTGAGGGTAGTCAATCGTTTTGTTGACAAGACAGTAGTGACGGCCATCTTGGTGACGTGTGTTGTTCTGTGAGACCAGAGATGTAGTTCATTGAGCGTTTCACACAAACAAATGTGTTACTTCACAGTTTTACGACACATTCTTTTTTTTTTTACTTGCAAAATTATCTTTTAAATTGACAAATATCATATGTGTAATTCGTGGCACAATTCAAACGAGATCGAAAGATAATCTTTCTCTCTCCATTGACTTCAATACATAATTTTTCCGAAATAAGGTCCCATGGAGGTCCACCGGAAGGGGAGGGACTTCGCCACTCTATAATTAAGCAATAGGCTTGTTTGAGACGAGCTGCGGCTCGCCTCGAAAGTAGACGAGAATAGCCGATTGCAGCCGAGGGAGGTCTCAAAAAGCTCGCCTGAAGTCGGACAGCTCGGAGTCGGCTTCTTCTTCTTCTCTCGGGTTTTGGCGGATTGCAAACAACTTTAAGGTGCATACGGTATGCACCTTAAAGTTGTTTGCAATCCGCCAAAACCCAGAGAAGTACAGTACAGTTGTACAGTAGGTGGCGGTATGCAGCATACCGCCACCTACTGTACAAGAGTGTGTATCACCATATCATCCTATCACCACTTGTGGAATTATACCACTGTATTTACGTTGTTTTAAATTCTTCCAATCAATCCTGTTTCACTCAAATACTTAAGAATGGCCTTCCTGGTAGCTCTTACCCCCTCACCTTCTGTTCCCAGTATCCCCATCAGGCTCCACTCCCTTCCTGCCTCTCTGACCCTGTCTCTTAGTTTTCCCCTCTCTGTTTTGTACATGTTGCAGTGTAATACGATGTGTTCCACATTTTCTTTCACTCCACACCCCCTGCATTCTTCAATTTCGCTTTTTACCATTATAAACATTGTGCCGTTTAATCCTGTAGGGGAGAAGGGGGTAAATTGAGCCAGTGGGTAAATTGAACCACCCCCTGTAACCAGGCAACGCCTTATAGTTGTAATCACGTGACCAGAAATTATGCAAGCTCCTCCCATTTCTCATTGCCTGTGAAAGAGATGCTCATTGTGGTCTGGTAAGTAACATTTTTTACAAAAAAACGTTTTTTGCTTGTCAAAGTAAATTTTCTAGATGTCAGCTATATCGGCTGTCATGTCAAAATAAATGTATCCAGGTTTAAACAAATATATTGTATATGTGTTGGCAGCGTATTAAACCATGTGAGTCATTAAGCTAAAGATGACTGAATTTTAATGCTAGGCTATTTTTTCTAAAATGGTGGCTATGGGGTAAAGTGAACCATGGGCCTTGGGGTAAGTTGAGCCAGTTTTTCAATGGAGAAATGAATGAAAGTAGGCCAAGTTGATAATAAGAGCTCATTGTAGGCTACATTTAAAGTTGAATTTACCCTGTGTTTGATTGGTAAGATGTATGAAATTGTATCACCATTTGTATGATTACTTTTCCTTTTATTAACATGTTAAAAAAAAATCAATCAATTCAATCGAAATTTATATAAAAAATATTTGAAAAACTAAACTTGTATTTGGTTTGTTATTTATTGTTTAAAGTTACCTTTAAGATTTGTTGTAGGTATGCCCAGGTTTGAACAGGTATGCCCAAGTTTGAACAGTGGTTCAATTTACCCCCTGACCTGGATCAACTTACCCCTAACCAAGTTGAGCCACAAAACTTCTTTTTTTTTAAGAAGTAATATTTTCACTGCACTTGATCAAATATGAATTCTTATCATTGCCATTGATAGGAGACATCCTGAATTATAGGCAGGGGTGCACACAACTTTCTCAGTGAGGTCCTCAGATGAGTACCTGGAGTCAGTGTTTGGTACTCCAGCTTCTGACCATTGTTAACGGGGGGGGGGGCGTCAGTGGAGTACAGCGCTTCACGATTGTTAACGGGGGGGGGGGGTGGCGTCAGTGGAGTACACCGCTTCGCGATTGTCAACGGGGGGGTGGCGTCAGTAGAGTACAGAGCTTCGTGACCGCGGCGCGTGTGAACGTTGTGTTCAGCTGTTTTAGCGCAGGGCTGCTGTACAGACCGACGTTAACAGCAGCCCTGTCTGTGCACACGGAGACCGACTCTGTCGTCCGGTGAACTAACCGCCTTCTGGAAAAGCTTCACATTTACGTCGGTACGCAAATGCACTTTGTGACACAAGTGACGGTACGCATTTCAGATTGTTGCCGCGCATGCGTACCTGCGTACCAGTTATGTGCACCCCTGGTTATGACATCATTAAGTGGCCAAAATCTGATCAGCTCATTTTCAGACAGGTTTTTATATAAATGGATCAGGACAAAAAGAGAGAGAATCTTTGTTCCTGAAACTTTCAGAGTCTCTTTCCACAGAGGGGACACATGTTGATGTAGAAGAGACATGAAGAAGAGACATGAAGAAGAGGGGACACATGTTGATGTAGAAGAGACATGGAGAAGAGGGGACACATGTTGATGTAGAAGAAACATGAAGAAGAGGGGACACATGTTGATGTAGAAGAGACATGGAGAAGAGGGGACACATGTTGATGTAGAAGAGACATGGAGAAGAGGGGACACATGTTGATGTAGAAGAGACATGGGGAAGAGGGGACACATGTTGATGTAGAAGAGACATGGGGAAGAGGGGACACATGTTGATGTAGAAGAGACATGAAGAAGAGGGGACACATGTTGATGTAGAAGAGACATGGGGAAGAGGGGACACATGTTGATGTAGAAGAGATGTGAAGAAGAGGGGACACATGTTGATGTAGAAGAGACATGAAGAAGAGGGGACACATGTTGATGTAGAAGAGACATGGAGAAGAGGGGACACATGTTGATGTAGAAGAGACATGAAGAAGAGGGGACACATGTTGATGTAGAAGAGACATGAAGAAGAGGGGACACATGTTGATGTAGAAAAGACATGAAGAAGAGGGGACACATGTTGATGTAGAAAAGACATGAAGAAGAGGGGACACATGTTGATGTAGAAAAGACAGGAAAAAGTGGATTTGTTTTTACGTTGTGTTACCTGGAATAGGTGCGACCTTTTCCCGAGCGACCCACAGGAAATCTCCCACGTTGAGGTTCCTCACATTGAACGTCACTCCGTTCCTCTGCAGCTCTTTGACCAGATCCTGCTTGCAGTTTTTGCTTCCGCTTCACAAAACACACCAACAGTTCAGGAAACACACACACACACACACACATTTATACGTTTGATTCACACAGTTTAAAACACACAGCTGTCTTACCCGGTTGTCTCAATGAAGTCCACACAGAGGATGATCTCGTAGGAGCCGGGAAGGAGACTCCATGAATTTGGGTTTCTGCTCGTTGACGGTACATTTTGGGGTTTTCCTGAAAAGAACATCCCAGGAACGACAACCCTCGGCTGGGCAGAGGAGGTCGGCCTCTCTGTAGGTCTGGAAAAAGGCGGTTCAATTCCTTTTATTGTATTTACAAACAGTTCAACAATACAAGTGCAATCATAAGACATAATGGAGATATTTCGATCTAAAATATATATTACTAATAAATCTACAATTGTTGAGAGTTCATGTATTTTACAGAAACATTACAAGCTAAAACACACAAAGAAAAGTCTACATATTGTCGTATATAAAAGTAGAATGCACCGTATTTTTCTGTATTTACTTTTTACATGTATATATTTGACCTATTTTTGCATTTTACTTGCACGTTTCTGTTTATTTTTGGACTATATTTATTCCTTTTTATGTCGTAAGTTGATGGAGGAGGCTGGGACTTAAGATTGTCAAAACCAAGACCACGTTATTTTGAATCTTGAATGTTTAAATGGTCTCTAAACACAAAATGTATCAGTCCAAACATAGGTCAAAATATATTGATATGAGAAACACAAACCTTTGACAAAGTGGAAATAATGGTGCGACTTAAATGCATTTCAGAGTATAGTTACATGTTGAGATAATGATACGTTTTTTTCCCAGAAGTTTTGAAGCACACTCACTGTATTCTCTCCTCTTCCTTCTCCTCTTCGTCATCATCACTAACAGTGAGGTCCACAAACCCCGGGCCACCCTCCTCTCCCTCCTCCTGCTCGTTTCCTTCACTCCTGGCCTCCTCTCTGTCTCCTTCTGGACCTTTAGTTCCCTCTAAAGACTCGAGGCGCTCCCCTAAAGCCAGACCCTCTTCTGTCAGAGAATACCTGAAGAGGGAGGAAGAGTGAACTACATTTAAACGAAAGGGAAGCCCCCGTTTCCACTTCAAAACACTCTGAATTGCTTTCCGCATAATCTGTTGGTTGCAAAAGGAGTTTAAGTCTCTCTGTTTCACTCCGATGACATGAGAGCAGGTTTTAACAATGTTGTTCAGGCTGTTCCTGTCTCTCAGTGTAAGGCTATTGTAGGGTATTTTAGCTCTGAGCTCAGGATTAGCTGAAAGGACTCCAGGAAGCTTATTTACAAGTTAACAGCGTTTAATAAAACAACGATACGATGATACAATGAAATTGCAAGAATGGTTGGTTATCCTTGATGGACAGCTGGGAAAGAGGGCGGCTTCCAGCTGGCTTCTCATTTTATAATCTGTAGGCTTCTCCTATTGTCTTAGCGTTGACGGGGGCGGGTCCAAGGCACGTCCTGTCGTTTTCTGATGTTAGTTTTACAATCTTCTAATATGTTGGTCATTTAAACATTCCCTAATAATAGTATTGCAGCGTCAATAAGTGAGGGTTAAAGACAGTGTGTTTAGTGTGCAACACCACGTGTCATTTCTCCTTAAATTCACAGAAACACAAAATTGGCTACATGCTAATGCTAACCGGAAGTTGACGATATTTACTCGCGAAAACCGGAAGTCGAGTGTGTGAACATCCGGTTTTCAGAATAAAGCAGCTTAAAATTAGAACAGTGTATTCATTTTAAGTTACGCCATATAAATATAGATTTTATTCCTTACACTATGGAAAAAAAGAAAAACAAATAAGGCTCTCAATGAATGCTTTGGTAAAAACGACAAAGAATGACCGGCCTGACAGAGAGAGAGTTCAGTTTGCGAAGAAGGTGCATTGACCCCGCTTCACAGCACACTCAGTATTCACATCGAATTTGCGGTGGTCGTCGAAAATGGTGCCCAAGTATTTATATGATGTGACAATTTCAACCTTGTCATTGTGTATGATTCACTCCTTAGGAACATCCTTGTGACGTCTTAAGTCAATTCCTGGGTTTTAGAGACGTGTGTGTGTGTGTGTGTGTGTGTGTGTGTGTGTGTGTGTGTGTGTGTGTGTGTGTGTGTGTGTGTGTGTGTGTGTGTGTGTGTGTGTGTCCTCTGTACCTTGCAGGGTTGTGGGTCTTCATCACCAGGTTCTTCTGGATCAGAGTGCTCACTGAAGACCAGGCCGTGTACTTACTGCCCAGATCTGGCTACAGACACATCAAAGTTAACTCAATTAAAATACAAATATTCAGGACGCTCTGATCAGGGTACCCTGTGCCGTCATATCAGTCAATAAATGGCCAATACAAAATTGTGCTCAAGCTAATTTTGTACCAAAAACATTAATATTTCATGCCGACAGACTCAACATTTTTTTGAATAAAGAGTATTATTAGGAAGTATTTTCTCTGCTTTTGACGACAATTTTTGAGTAATAATAATGGTTTATTGTTAACAGGACATCCCAAAACAAGTCCCTTTTTATATATTAGTTTCAGAACATCGGTGTGTTCATTTTCACTATATAATCTTCCACAAAGAACTCCCTTAATATTGAGTAGAATAGAGAGTAGGAGTCAGCCATCTTGTTGTTGTTTTTCAAAAATGGAATGCCTGGGCAAAGTTACCCAGAATGCATCTTCATTGTTGCCATGGCCACATCTCTACATGTGAGCATTGTGCAGAAATTCCAAGTGATGTCATGATGATGCTGTGATGTGCTTTGTGACATCTTCGATAGTTCCAAATGGGAACCTGCAAGGAGACCAGTTTGAGTTTTAAGGCATAGCATATCTTGGCTTAGCAGAAACCAGTCTGACGCTGACAACACCCCATGAAATTCTGTTTTTTCCCCGTGAGAAACAGTTAGGTATTACCAGTTGCTACTGTGTGTGTATCATTATCATCTTAAAAAAACATGTCCTGCAATAAGGAACAAGTGGAAATGGGAGGTGACTACGCTGGAGTTAGAAGGAGTCTTGGGGCAGTTCAAGAACAACTCAAGACCCTACATGTGGAAATGCAATCCATACAAAGACAGCTCAGCAGCTTTCCAGCGCTGGGGGAGCAGTTTGACGCTCTGAAGGCCGAGGAACGTGTCGTGCGCCGCAAATGTGCCTACCTCGAAAAAGAAGGGAGGCTTCTTAGTGAGAAGATCGAAAATAACGTTACCGTAGAGGCGATGTTCCAGGGACTAATCCAGACAAACAAGGAATTGGAGCGTGAACGACAGATCCTCGAGGGACAGATGTTTGACAAGCTAGATGAGCTGGATAGCATCGATGCTATCAAAGCTGAGCATGAAGCTGCACTATGTGTACAGAGAGAGCTCGAAGCACAGATTGAAGAGGTGCGTTCATCGATCCAAAGCTATTCTGCTGCAGAGGAAGCACTCGATGCATTGAGAAGTGATGCAGAGGAAATCATCAGAGTAAATGGTGGCCTTGAGGAAGAACTTGAGTGTCTCAAGCAAAGGAAAGAGCAACTTCAGGATTGTTTCCAAGTGTCTAAGGCAGAGATAGAGACGGTTTTCCAGAAGAACGAGGCTCTGCAGCAGGAAGTGGATCTCTGCAGGGAGCTTGAAAATGAAAGCACGGTGCAGTTTGAGATAGACGAAATGAACCAGTCGAAATATGAGGAAAGGAGCCAAACTGAAGACTTGCAAGAAGAGATCTTTGAGCTTTCAAAGAGGCTTCTGGGTTTAGAGGATCTTCAGGGGTCATACGACATTGCGAAGGAAGAAAAAGAGTTGATTTTCCAGCGAAATCAATTGTTGCAACAAAAGAAACACGAGTTGTGCCAAGAACTTCAGAATGAGGACACCATTAGGGAAAGTTACAACGCAATGGTGACAGAAAAAGCCGCCATGAGTCTCGAACATGTCTCCCTGCGAGAAGAAGTTTTGCAGCTCAAGGAAAGGCATCTGCTTTTCATGAAGCTCGAGGACTCTTACAAGGAGGCGAAAGCTGAGAGAGAGGACGTTATGAGGAAGAACGAGGCTTTAATGAACAAGATCCAGGGTGTGAGCAATGAGGTTCACAAGGAAAATGATCTCATGATCAAGTATGAGGCTTTGAAGGCATCCAACGAGACCTTGAGGTGTGATAGTGGCGCCATGGGGACCCTAACCAGTGAATCAGCCTTCCAGGTGAAGCCGCTGAGCGACAAAACCACAGCGGTTCAGAATCCAAACGGCGATCAGGACCAAATTAACGGCTTGAATGTGAAGAACGTCACCGTTCTCGATGACTTCCTTGAATTCAAGAAAACGTTTCAGGAGAATGAAGCTGCACTATGTGGACAGAGAGAGCTCGAAGCACAGATTACAGAGGAAATGGGAGGTGACTACGCTGGAGTTAGAAGGAGTCTTGGGGCAGTTCAAGAACATCTCAAGACCCTACATGTGGAAATGCAATCCATACAAAGACAGCTCAGCAGCTTTCCAGCGCTGGGGGAGCAGTTTGACGCTCTGAAGGCCGAGGAACGTGTTGTGAAGCGCAAATGTGCCTACCTTGAAAAAGTAGGGAGGGTTCTTAATGAGAAGATCGAAAATAACGTTACCGCAGAGGCGATGTTCCAGGGACTAATCCAGACAAACAAGGAATTGGAGCGTGAACGACAGATCCTCGAGGGACAGATGTTTGACAAGCTAGATGAGCTGGATAGCATCGATGCTATCAAAGCTGAGCATGAAGCTGCACTATGTGTACAGAGAGAGCTCGAAGCACAGATTGAAGAGGTGCGTTCATCGATCCAAAGCTATTCTGCTGCAGAGGAAGCACTCGATGCATTGAGAAGTGATGCAGAGGAAATCATCAGAGTAAATGGTGGCCTTGAGGAAGAACTTGAGTGTCTCAAGCAAAGGAAAGAGCAACTTCAGGATTGTTTCCAAGTGTCTAAGGCAGAGATGGAGACGGTTTTCCAGAAGAACGAGGCTCTGCAGCAGGAAGTGGATCTCTGCAGGGAGCTTGAAAATGAAAGCACGGTGCAGTTTGAGATAGACGAAATGAACCAGTCGAAATATGAGGAAAGGAGCCAAACTGAAGACTTGCAAGAAGAGATCTTTGAGCTTTCAAAGAGGCTTCTGGGTTTAGAGGATCTTCAGGGGTCATACGACATTGTGAAGGAAGAAAAAGAGTTGATTTTCCAGCGAAATCAATTGTTGCAACAAAAGAAACACGAGTTGTGCCAAGAACTTCAGAATGAGGACACCATTAGGGAAAGTTACAGCGCAATGGTGACAGAAAAAGCCGCCATGAGTCTCGAACATGTCTCCCTGCGAGAAGAAGTTTTGCAGCTCAAGGAAAGGCATCTGCTTTTCATGAAGCTCGAGGACTCTTACAAGGAGGCGAAAGCTGAGAGAGAGGACGTTATGAGGAAGAATGTGAAGAACGTCACCGTTGACAATGACTTCCTTGAACACATGAAAACGGTTCAGGAGAATCAAGCTCAGCAGGCCAGGAGATAAAAGCCACTAAGTTAGTGGCTTTTATCTGCGGGTTTTCTCCGGGAGCACCGGGTTTTTCCCAAAATGTACGATTAAAAAAAACAAAAACATTAGTCAGTGAATCAGTCAGTGAATCAGCCTTTCAGGTGAAGCCGCTGAGGGACAAAAACACAGCGGTTCAGAATCCAAACGGCGATCAGGACCAAATTAACGGCTTGAATGTGAAGAACGTCACCGTTGACAATGACTTCCTTGAACACATGAAAACGGTTCAGGAGAATCAAGCTCAGCAGGCCAGGAGATAAAAGCCACTAATTTATCTGCGGGTTAATTCGTCAAAAGCATAAATAAATAAACAAATGTTTTTATTTAATTTAAATTTCTATGTTGGTTTGTTTCTCTTTAATCATGCAGTGTCAAATGTTGTCTTTAAAAATGTCAAAAACCTAACCCTAAACCTAACTCTAAACCTAAACCTAACCCTTATAATCTTCATACTCCTTGACTTTTTTCTGATAGTTTCTTCTACAAATGATTTTCGTTGAGAAAAACAATAAAAACTAAAATAAGTAATAACTTAAGTCTATTGGTGTATCTTGTATTGGCATATAATACCATACTGCACATACTCAACTCATATTAGGTATTAAAGCACATGTGTCAAACTCAAGGCCCGTGGTGGATTTAATTTCGGCTGACTATTAGATCTGGCCCGCCGGTATATTGCACACACACCTTCACTCAATCCTGAGGGTTTCCTCAGCTCAGAGCCTGAGCCCAAACATTGATGAACTTGCACCCAAGATGAGATGCCAAGTATCTGAACTAGCATCACAGAGCAGCACACTGAGTTTCAATGGATGTTTCCTTCTGCACTTTTTCTCTCACGACAACAGGGCATGTTTGTTTTCTCTTGAGGGAAATAGTTTTTTTGAAGCTGTGGAAAAATGTAATCATAAGAAATGACTCGGGAAAAGCTGCAGATAGAGCCATAAGAAATGAATGCAACTGATTATTTAATGTTTAATGTTGTTTTTATAGGCAATAATTTAAGCTTTGTTAGTTCCAGGTTTAATATGTGCAATAAGTTCATTTCAATAAGTTTTGCAATAAACATTGAACCAGTCCGGCCTTCGACTAGTACCCATTTTTTTATTTTGGCCCACTTTGTATTTGAGTTTGACACCCCTTGTAGTGGCATCCAAGGTTTCCTTTTGCCACTATAGAGCGGGGTTGACGACACACAATCCAAAGCAATAAGCAGCCGAAGGTTTTCAGTCAAAAAATGTAATTTATTAACAAAAAAGTATTGACTTAAATAGTCTCAAAATAACAAATCTAAATCAATATTTCGGCGATATACTTTCTTATATAAACTATACTTTGCAGTCCAATTTGCAACACTAATTTCGGTTTACAATTTGTGGTCGAAAAACTGTTCCGCTCCCCGTCTCATCAGGTCTCAGAGCACCGCGGCTGTCTTCAATTGCCTCACTTAAAGTGGACCTATCATGCTATATTTGAATAATATAGTGTAGGACCATACCTATATAAGGCATATTTATACTTTTTTTTTTTCAAAACACCAAACAGATCATGCATTTTAGCCATGCCTCATTTTGCTCAATTTGACATTTTTTAGCTCTGTGTTTGCAAGGGCAGATTCTGTGAGAACAGCACCACCTACAGGCCTGGCATATGTACTACAGCGTCTCCAGCGCTTTCGAACGGCAATGCCGTGGTTGTCTCCTCCTGATTGGTGGAGTTGGCCCAATAGCCGTAGCGCCACCGTCCTGACGTCAGGACAGTGTTCAAATCTGGATCAGTTTTTATCAGATCTGTTGCAGCCCCTTTTTTAGAGATTTGGGTATGGAGGAAAATAGAGAGGGTTGTGTTTTCTGACACTTGGTGAGTTCCCTGGAACACCGGGGACACATATTCATGTATAAAAGACGTACCAAAGTGCATTTTGCATGATAGGTCCCCTTTAAATAAACACCGGAAGGTACAAGGAAACAGATCATAATTACGATTTAAAATGATTAATCATTTCATCAAAAGATATTCACCATGGCAATATAAATCATTTTCCATCATTAATTCATTTATCAAATTATGAATCTAAATAATAACTTTGACTTCATTGTGGCTCTAACACCCCTGCTTTAAAGAGTTCATTATTCTGTGTCATAATAATGCTTCGTGGTCATTTGAGAGCGTCTTCCCGTGTTAAACTGTTACAGCCCACATGCTCCAATACTTCAACATATTGGTGT